GAGAGAGAGAGAGAGAGAGAGAGAGAGAGAGAGAGAGAGAGAGAGAGAGAGAGAGAGAGAGAGCGAATGCACTGATGACTTGCTTCGCTCAGGGTCAACAACAGCCAACAGTCCGTCTGCGCACTCCCACCTACTTTTCCAGGCCTTTCACGGTAGCAATATGTATTGACATCCGACTTAAGTTCCTCAACCACCGACAACTCCCAGAGTCGCAAAATACCACCACCGACAACACCCAGAGTCGCACAATGCTCCCATCGACAAGGGCCCTTTTCGCGGCATTTATTATACTTCAGCTACAAGTCTTGGGCCATCACGCAACGCGCAGTGGCGTAGCTCCACGGACTCTCCGTTGTCAGTACGGGCATACTCACACTGCTACCGGTAGTAGGAGTTTGGACTTTTTTTCCTTATTGTGGACGTAACTACGGTCAGTTGCATTCAGGTCTGGCTGTACATCCGGTCAGATACAGATACAGAGGGCTAATGTGAGTATACCCCAAGGGCATCGCCACACCACTCGCGGAATGTGAAAAAGGGTCTCGCTCGACTATTGTCCGCTGTACTGTACAAATTTCTGGACAGTTCACGGACAGCAGTCCTTACTGTCCGCTGTCCACCTCTCAAATTCGTGGCTTCACTACCAGACACGGTGATAGAACTACAAGACAGGACGTCCATAGGGTGAGTCCGTTGAAGGACTTTTCGCCTGACGAATTTTGCAGGCTTTTCGAAACTGTCCAAGCCATTTTGCACATGTACAGTGGACAGTAAGTGGAGCGAAGTATTCGACTGTCCGTTTTTGTACAGCGGACAGTAGTGGAGCGAGACCCTTTGGGCACCGCCACACCACTCCCGAAATGTGCAAAATGAGAATGAACTTCCCGCTAGAACATGGCCAGGTGCACGCGCCACATGTTTGTCTTTTTCACATTTCGAGAGTGGTGTGGCGAGGCCCTTCGTCTGCCCAAACTCCAGGTGCATTCTCCAAATTCGGGTCGTCATGAGGTGCACTCTCCAAATTCGGGTCGTCATGAGTCCCTTGAAGGACTTTCCGCGTAAAGCATTTTGCAGGCTGGGAGCTGTACATTCACGGACAGTAGATTTTCGACGGGGTTTCTAAGAACTGTCCAAGCCATTTTGCACATGTACAGTGGACAGTAAAGTGGAGCGAAGTACGACTGTCCGTTTTTGTACAGGACAGTAGTGGAGCGAGACCCAAAGACCTACGGAAGATGTATCTTTTCATGTTCGTTTTTTTTTTTTTTTTTTTTTTTTTAAAAGCTATATTCTTCTCTCAATTTCACCTCACACTACCTACCTACCACTACTCCTAATTGTAGGCATACGGGGAACCCCGTAGCAGCCAGAACCGTGTTCACGAGAGAACATGCTGGGGCTGCTCCCGACTTGCAGGTGGGCGATACCGGCTAGGGGACAGCCGGTAGCATCAGGGACCATGCCAACAGGACCAATCCCTGTGCCTCCCCTCTGCTAATTTTTTCTATTTTATTTTTTTACAAGTAAACTCTGCTCATTCTTATTGCCACACAAAGGGAAGAGGCCGGGAATTCCTCAACAAACAACCCGGAGCAGAAACTTAGGGTCTCGCTGCACTACTCTACTTCGGGCAAATTCGGAGAGTTGTGCATAGCTGCACAAACTCTCCGATAGAACCCCAAAAGAAATTCGGAGAGCTGTCAGAAACCACAAAAGAATTCAACTCTCCGCCGACGGAGAGTGCCCAGCCTGCAAAATTCGTTACGGGGAGAGACCTTCGAAGGAACCACCGATTTGCTTCAAATCTGGAGAGTGAACCTTGAGTCTGGGCCGACAAACGGGGACTTTGAGCTGTCGTTTTGTGCCCTCTATAGTTTTTTTGTTTTTTTTTTGGGAAAGCCCTCTATAGCTGTAGAGTTAGTGCAGCAATGAACTCTCCGCGTACTCTCCGATTTCCCAGAGAGTGGAGAGTAGTGCAGCGAGACCCTTATCACTGGGACCATTACCCAGCTTTGGTGCAGGCCTTGGGACACTGTGGTCTAGTAGCAGAATGGCCAAATCAAGACCGCTGCACTGACACATCCCAACCCTGGGAAAAGAAAAAATTCCATCATGGCCACAAAGCCTACACAATTCAAAAATCCACCAAACAAAAGGAACAACAACAAAAAAAAATTGCCTCAGGCCCCCAAAACCTAACAATCAGAAACCGTTCATCTGTCCTCCTACACTAGTACATAACCCCAATATCCCAACCCTACTAAACTTCAAACAAGGAACAGCCATCTACACCTCTACCATTCCCCACCTACAACGGTAGGGGGGTTCCAATTGGAACCCAACCTATCATGGTTACCCAATACTCCTCCCCCCACTTCCTGCTGCCTGTCTCCTGCGACCAATCCAATCAACCGAGTATTCAGGTTGGCCTCTAATCTAGTTGGAGTAAAGCCATTGGTTCAACACCATTTTCCCTGTCTCAACTGCTGCCAGGGAGCCCTGTAGGCACCATGTGTCCTTGAACCACCGTAGACCTGAAGCCGAAGTTAGTGAGTTACTTACTTTCCTTCTCCAGTCCGCCTGAATTGATCTACGTAGGTGTGCCAGAAAGGTAGATCTGATTCGTTTGTTGTCCCATTCTTCTCCGTCAAATACGCAGCTGTTTCTGCTCTGCCAGATTACGTGAAAGCAGACCGCTAGAAAGGTTTGTGCCACATAACCGATGCCCTTGTTCAGTGGGAGGTGAATGGGTACGCCTCCCAATGTTGGAATGCTGAAGCTGTGTCCAAACTCACTGTGGATGAGCTCAACCCCCAACCCAGTGTGGCCTCAAAATTGGTTCAAGTTCGGATCCTGGAGCATGTCAATCTAAATGGACACTCAGACTGTGTGCTTTTTGCTGAAGGGAAACCAATCTTACAACTTAAAATTGATCCGAAGATGTGGGAATGGAGAGCCAGAGGGAGAGGTGGTCAAAATTTACCGCTTCTGGATTACACACAACAGTTGGGATATAGTATCCTGGCCCCACGCAAACATCCGAGATCGGTGGCCAGACAGAGATGGGTTGGATTGCTGGACGCGGAAGCAACAATAATTGACACAGCATTAATAAGATGCTGGAAGCAACTCAAGTTGATTAGCTGCCAGAGACAGGCGGCTATTCTATAGTTAACCTCGATGGCTGCAACGCCTTCAGCAGTCTGGCTCGCTCAACACGGTTTGGAAGTGGACATGACTTGCAAAAGGTGTCAGTGGGCGTTTGAATCGACAGTCCACCTTTGGTGGGACTGCCCGGCTGCACAAAGGATTTGGACCTGGATTATAAGACACTGGAACAGATTAATGGGAGAGAACAGTTTCGTCTGGGATAAGCTTTGGGACTCTGCTAATTTGAAACACTTTCATGTTTGTTTTCTCTTTTTCTCTTTTTCTTTATTTCTTGTCATGTTCTTGGGAACATACATGTTTTCGGGAACATATGTGCTGCATTTTCCACAGTGACCGAATGATTCCTCCCCGATAACTGTTCATATCCTCTGTATTCGTAGATACAAGAAAGTGTACGACCTACAGAACAGATCCTGTTCAAGTACAGTCGTTCTGTTCATATCCTACTCCTACCTGTGTTCAAAGTAACTGTTCGATAAAGCGGAGCTCATGCTGCGTTCTGAATCAGCGCCGGTCAGCTTGATGGTGACACGTCAAGGCCTTCACACTTCCAAATTCCAAAAAGTAACGAACAATCGAGAGTTACACGCCCCGCGAAGGGGGCTTGGAAGGCAGTTGTCGGTGGGCTGGGGACAGGAGGGAGCGTTTTTTGTCACTAGGACCCACATTAGGTTCCACGGCCTGTGTTAGGGACCGTGCTCGCCTAGGAAGTAGATTAGTTGATTGTAGCTTCAGCCTCCTGGAACCTCACTTCCACAGTCCGTTTAAGGAGACTGGACTGGGCAAGGTCCCACTTGCGCAAATTAGGAGATTTCGGTCGTTGATCTTTGTTATCTACAGTCAACATCGTGCAAGTGGGAACTAGCCCCTGGTAAGAGGCGATTGTACGTAAGTAGAATGGATAGGAGCTAGCCCGGGTTGTTAGTGGAAGTAGGTAACTTAGAGTTCTTTGGGGTAGTCGGTAGGTAGGATGCAGCCCTTGGGCTGAGGGGTCTGGGAAAGACCATCAGGCTTTTGCCTCCAAGCTAAGCTGGATGATGCTTCCAGATACCTCTGGGTGTAATGCTGAGGATCACAGGCCTCTATTTCCAACTGGAAAGAAAAAAAGGGGGCCATTTTGAGAGAGCTCCATCCTACAATCGGATGGCGCACTCTTTTCCGTGAGTGTTGCCTGGAACTGGGACGTCCAGCGGCGAGGGGCCTCACTGCACTATGCTTGAAACTTGAAGTTTCAAGTGTGCCTCATCGCTGCATAAACTTTTTTTTTTTTTTTTTTTTTTTTTTTAATGGGTGCTCACAGGACCCACCCCTACCTATCTCATTTTTCTGCTTCCTTAGCGTTCTCGGGGTCAATACCCTGACAAGGGTATTTGTCGTGGATTTTAAACGTCAGACACTGTCGGACTTTTTTGTTGAATTGAAGGACTTGATGAGACTGATGTTTGCCAAAAGCTCACTCAGACTAACTTATAACCGAGGGACTGAAACCTTTATGGACCTTAGTTCAGACGCTTGCGTCGTCCGAACGTAAGGGCGGTAGTCAGCAGTTTCTAGCGAGCGGCAAAGAGCCGTGAATGTGAAACTGTTGAAATTAGACATATCCTACTTAAAATAATGGCGCATAGTTGCTGAGCTTCACGATTCAAGGCCTCAGCAGGCAAAAAAAAAGCGGTCGCGCTGGATATGGGATTGCAACGCAGGCAGGAATAGGAAGTTTTTTATTTTTTTTCTGGGCCTATGGGGTTTGACGTCGAGTCAGGAGCCTGAAAGGCCGATGCCGAGGCCTACCCGTTTGGGTGACCTCCAAGTCGTGGATGGGCAATCACCAACGAGAAAAGGGTTGGGCAAGGCAGATTGGGCCTGCTGAGTGTAGGATGGGCCTACTGGGGGCTGCACCTCTACATATAGAAGAGGTGCAGGTGTAGCTTTTGTAATAAGAGCTAGCCCAGTAGGTTACGTTGTCGGAGCAGAAACCCTTGCAAGGGTATCTGCTCGGGTTTTTCAATATCGGATGCCGTCCGACTTTT